TTTTAGCAAAAAGTAGACTTTTATTACAGCAGCAACTGAGGCGAATCGAATGGCCCCCTAGGGCCACCACTGCAGCACCACCTTTCTCTCCCGCCCCGGCCGCCCAGCGGGATTGTAGAACTCAGCTCCCCCAGTGCCCGTGGCCTCCTTTCCACACAGGCTGGGCGGGAGCCGGCAGATCAGCTACTAGCCCCCAACTAGAAGGCGGCTGCTGAGAAGGCCCAGGCCCACGTCTGTGCAAAACAAGTAAACAAAGTGCAGAGGGGAGGAAGAGAAAGGGGAGGGGGAGGATGATGCTCAGAACCAGGGAGCCCCCAAGCCCTCCTGAATAATAAAGGAGAGAAGGGGCTTCACAGGGTAATACTGACTGGGGGGAAGGGACAGGAGGGCTGCAGCATGTCCAGGGACAGCCACAGCTCAGATAGGGGCCTGGCCCAAGTGAGCTCTAAGAGGAGACGGTGACAGCGGCTGAGTTGAGGGTACTGTTCCTGGCGAAATTGAACTTGTTCAGGGTCTCCTCTAGCAGAGAAGTCAGCCGGCTCTGGTCAGCCTGGGGGAGAAGAACTCAGTGAGACGGGCTGAGAGAAGGGGCAGCACGGAGGCAGCCAGCGCAGATGGAGGCAGCAACCTCACCTCGCTAATGAAGCCCAACTGCACCAGCTCAGCGGCCAACTCCGGGATGTTCTCATCTGACAAAGAAAGCGGAGGGAGTGAGTATGGTATGGGAGTGAAGGGCACAGAGCCCTTCAAACAGCACCAGTCCGGCAACACCCATCAGTTTTAAGGGCTAACAGTCATTCTATGTGAGTCACTGTGTTACTGCCTTGTCACCTTCCCCACCCCTAAATATGTCCCTCACAGATAAGACTCAGACTCTCCATCCTCTAAGGGAAAGGAGAGACTCACTTGGCATCAGGTCACAGCTCAGGTGCCGGTTCAGTTTGTCCTCCAGCTTCAGCAGAAGCGTCAGCTGGAGAATAGGACAGTCAGAAAATGAGGCTCCTCTTCCCCACCTTCTGGCCACCCAGCCCCATGCAGCCCTGGCCCTGAGGCTTACGTGGTGTTTGACTCCCTCCTCCACTGACTCAATGTTGCACTGCATCAGCACCACCTAGGGGGAGAGGTCAGAAAGGGTCACTGGAGTAGAGATCAGTCGGTAAAAAAACCCAATACCTGGAAGCCTTTCCAGCCCACAGGACATGGTTGTCATGAAGTGGAAAATGCTTTCTTTTCTCTAAAGAATAGAGCCTTATTTGAGATGTCCTCTCCCCCTTCCACCATGGCTACGGAGACATCCACACCACCACAGCCCCCACCTTGCGGGTCTCCACCTCAGCCGGTTCAGGTGTTGGAGTCTTGACAGAGGGGGGCACAACAGGTGATGTGACCTCCTCCTGCTGTGGCTGCTGAGGCCGAGGTAGCCCAAAAGCTGTCAGAGGGTAGATACCATTCCTGGAGGGAGATGAAGACAGGTCACACAGCCTCTATGAATGCCTTAGGACACCCACCCTGCTTCCTCGAGGAAGCCTGCTTCTCACTCCGCTCTTACCTGACATCTTCAAGGAATTTATCTAATTCCAGAGCTGGTGACTGAGAGTACCTGCAGGAGAAAAGAGAGAAAGAAGATGGAAGAAAGGAAACAAGCAAAATAGCAGATTCAACCATTCCCAGAGAAGGGACAGGGTGGTAGTGACCGATCTGTCCCTTTCAGACCCTCTCAGTTACTCACAAAGTCTGAACTGGTTCTCTTCCTGGTCCTGCAGGGATTTCAGCGAGGACGGCACTGGTATCCATGTTTTTGGTGATCTCCTCCAGAGCATTCTCTGGGATCATATCTGGAGGGCACGATGGAGTGGGATGTCATGGAGGGATAGTCAGATCAATGTCATAGAAGGCACAGAGGCAAAGGGGTAAAGGATCAGGTATAGTCAGATCAATGTCATAGAAGGCACAGAGGCAAAGGGGTAAAGGATCCCTTTGGAAGTAGAAGAGGAAAGAGCATGCCAGTGAGAGTTACAAGGCCCCAGATTGGAAGAAAATTCCTAGTAGGGCCAAGGGGACTTACGCTGGTGTCCCACAATACAGTGGGCAGCAAGGAGTTTGAGTGAGGGCACTTCAAATAGTGCTGGGTGAAACAGAAGTTCCCTGGCTGTTGGTCTGCGAGCAGGCTCAGACTGCAGGCACTTTTGAATAAACTCCTAGAAAAGAGAACAAGGAACTGGAGCAGGCATCTGGCAAGTCCCCCACTGTATTCATCTTTATAGTTCTCATTCTACTTAGCACAAGGCTTATACATACTAGGGGCTCAGCACTTGTTGAGGAAACATATTGATTAATGTTTCAAAGCCTTGAAAAGGCTTTGAAAACTATAAGGTTATTATATAAAAAATATCATTCACTATCTTTCTGCTTTTAATCATTTTTCTGCTTTCCAACCACAAGCTCTCTTTTTTCTTTAATGTTCACTATTTCTTTCTCCTTCTATTCTACCTCTCTGCTTTCTTAGCCTACTCACTGCTTACCTTCTTCTCCAACCTTTGCCAAATTTAGCTTCTCTCTTCCTGAACTTACTCATTGTGATCAATAATAATCACAGTCTTTTTTATTCCCCAAGCCTAGTATCACAATTTCCTTTTCCACTGCAATCACTGAAGTAACTGGATTTCCCATGCTTCCTCAAACCATTTTGCCTCTTTTCTACCTCCTGTAGGTCCCAAAACAATAACCTGCTTACCTACTTTGTCTTAAAGGCCAACAAGGTCACATACCTAATCTTTCACTTGAATACCCCACCCTAATGCTGAACTATAAATTTATTCCACACTACCCTCAGGGCTTCCCACCAGTCTTCCTTCTTTTCTCTTTTATTTCCTATTATACTTCTCTAATGAGTTACAAACTATTTTTGTTCAGACCTTCCTGTCTAGCCTCTACCTACTGTAGTTTGTCTACTGATTCATAACCTTATATCCTTTAAATCTTAGCTCATTACTTCAGCGGACCTTCCTAACTATATAAACATAAAATCCCGAGTAACTGATTTAATTCAAACTGGTTGACTTGCTTAAAAACACAAGATGGGCCAGGCGCGGTGGCTCACGCCTGTAATCCTAGCTCTCTGGGAGGCTGAGGCGGGCGGATTGTTTGAGCTCAGGAGTTCGAAACCAGCCTA